GTAAACAAATTCAAAGCAGAGCAAACAATGGAAATCAAAACAGCAGGTCACTTCACTCAAGTAATGGATGCAAACAGGTCGTAATAAAAATCAAAGCATAAAATTAAAATCCTGCAGTCTCGAACTCTAAAGACAGACCATGCATTAATCAAAGCAACAGTCAGCAAGACACAAGTCAATAAAAAATAACAGTAATAGATCTAGATCTAGAATCAAGATCTATATCATAATCAACATTTATTATGACAAGATGAAACATACAAGGTTGAAAACAAACATGGAGTAATGCAAAAGAGACAAGAAATGTGACAATGAAAATGTAAGTGCCAGACAGGTCGTAAGAAAATACATGCAGTATGCAGTACAATAAAGAGAAGAAAAGTACTGAAATGTGTATGATCGCAGTGAAAGCCAAAGAAAGAAGGAGGCTGCTGGGATAATGAGATTTGAATTAGGCCTAGACGGGAAGATCGCTTGCAGCATCTCGAGCCATCCCATAATCTTTCAATTGAAATTGTGATTGGTGCAATCAGAGACGCAATGCTCGTCCGTCACCGTTGTGCGTAAATTTGACCTTGGCCTCTTACGGCCTAACCACCAGCAGAAGGGATTTGTAACTGCTAGCGAATCAGCGCGTTCTGAGGGCCCACGTGACTTTCATTGAGTCGAACGGATCCGGCCAATTGTGGGACGGTCCAATTCGAACTCGCCGCTTCCTTCTGAACACAGCGAGGGGAAAATAGAAATCAGGCATCGTGTTTTATGATACTTTTCAAACATGCATCATTATTTTGGTAAACCTAAATTTTGAGCATCCAAAAATGTTTCTTGGGTGCAGTTTTGCGTAAAATTATTCACAATTTTGAACAAATTAAATATGTTTTCGCTCCTTTTGTTCCATTTTCCCCTTGGCTGCCCTAGTTCGGGAATTCGTGTTCGGACTCGTCCTCCTGCCCAATGTTCGAGTTCCGACTCAGACCCCACGAATTCGTCGAATTCCGAATCTCGACTTGACTTCGCCCATGCTTACTGGCCAAGGTTGCATTTGTAAACACTGCCTCTACAAGTCTATACTCTTCTGGTCTACAGAAAAGGTTACACGACATGCTGATGAAAACAGGACAATAGATTTTAAAACTGAATTCTAGATCTAGGCCAAGTTATAAAATAATGTCGATCTAGCATAAAACCAAAACATGTCTTGATAATGTAGACCGAAAACTAGATCTAGAATCTACATCTAGATTATCTAGATCTAGATCTAGATCTAGAATCTAGATCTAGAGATCTAATTATCTAGTCGACAGTGTCAGTAGTTACATAAGAAAAAAAGTCATCTAGACTCTAGATCTAGATTCTAGATCTATAGGTTTCCAGCATAATAAAAATATGCCTGCCTTAGCCTAAATACACGCGTTGATCTAGATATCTAGCTTGCAACATAAGCAGTTTAATTTAAGACAGCCTAATAAAGGTTAATACATTTTTACTTATTTTACTAATTAGTTACATAGCCCTGCATGGGGTCTGTGGGTAGGGAAGAGTTGGAGAGGAAAGAAAGAGAGCATGCAATAGCATATAGATCTATGCCTATAGGCAGTGATGAAAAAAGGCAACAGACTAGAAATAGAAAACAGATTTAGTTTTGTGTAGCCTACGCTAGGCATATATGGATAAAAACAGGAATACAAAGTGACAGATCGAACTCACCAGAGGCCTATATATATATATATATATATATATATATATATATATATATATATATATATATATATATATATATATATGTGTGTGTGTGTGTGTGTGTGTGTGTGTGTGTGTGTGTGTGTGTGTGTGTGTGTGTGTGTGTATATATATACATAAACATGTATAATGCATCTTTCATGGATTAATAGCACTTTACTGAAACTGGCTCTTACAATTAAGTGGGTGAATGTGACAGTCGTTCTTAGACTGTTTTGCTGTATGCATTGTCTCTTGCTGATTCTTTTGTATATTATGTCCATACTTCTCTGTCAGGCACATACATTTGAGACATTACAAAATTCAAGGGTGGTCCTGACAGGGTCAAACTAGCACTTTCTTACTTAATTAAGTAAGCTTTGTAATTTATTTGTCTCTTTAATTTTGTTACATGTATTCCGTAGTATTACAGCAGGACATTGTCTACTTAGATGTCAAGGTGTTTTTTTTCCACTTTTAATGTCTTCTTCAAAACTCTCACATCACATTGCAGACACTAGATCTTTTGTAATGGACAGGACCTGTAA